CTGCTTTGACGCAACATAGTTGACTTGAGGGAGAAGTTGCTCCTTGCGCCGCTCGGATTCAAGTGTGAAATCCTCTTCAATGATGTAGCTCGAAAGCGTATCCTCGTCGAGCTCTTCCCGTACACCTTGGAGTTTCACCATGCGTCGAAGGAGATTGTAGCTTGCATGCAGACCTTTGATGACATGCGTGACATACGAAGACATTGAGTAGTCCACGCCAGCCATACGCAGATCTGCAATAATCTGTTGTGCGTGATTGCAATATGCGGTTGCGCTTTCATGCTCCCCCATCTCCAGATTTGTCAACCGTTGCTCCAGCAAACCGATGTAAAGTGTCAGAATCACTAACGAGAATGGATGAACTATGAAACAGTTGGGTACAAGTACTAACCCTAATTGGGTTGTACCCCTTATGGGCTACCCCACTATAGCCTACACAATGTAAGCAATATAACATTCTGACATTAACGTCATGCATTGCCTTGTAGGTCTTCATAATGAATTGCCAAGCTTGAAAACCAGTGTCCACCCGAAGACAGCATGGCTTCAATGCAACTTGGACGACCGGTGAGCAACACCTTGAGATGACCATAAACGTCAACGGTTGTGCAGAATGAAACTGTGCGCGCCGTTCAGCATCATCCTCAGGCGGCACCTCCACCGTGCCGTCAACGAACTTCTTCAGCTGTGCGATCTCCAACTGCGGCTCAATGGAATCGACCCACGTTGTCAATTCGTGACGCCCTTCAAGCAGTTTTGGCACGACGATCTTGTCGGGTGAGAACTTGAAGTATCCGTATTCCGGAGCGATTCCACCATCGCGTACCGTTGTCGCATTTGCCGTCCACGAGGGTCCGCCACCACTTGGTCATGCAAGGCTGCGACGACCGTGCGCGTCACTACGCGCACTCGCTGTAGCGGCTGATCGAACGACTTGCGCTTGCATTCCACCGACGCTTGCGGTGTGCACTCTGACGGCCCCTCGCACTTTCACCGCGCGTCACTCTTGCGCCTCTTGCCATCGATGTTGACGTTTTCGCCTTTAGCACGAGGAGAAGCAGACTCAATTTCCGCCTCAGCGCGAGGAGGTGGGTGATCGCGAGCCCACTTCGAATGAGCTCCCTCGATCATCACTTCCATATCCATGTCGCTGATTTCGCCACGAATGTGGCGCTACCGCAAAGCAGCGACCTGCGCCTCCAGGTCCATGACTTCCGTAGCGGCGCCCTCGCCAACCATACAGAATCGAAGTGGCTGCCGGCCCAAGGTTGACAACTTCGTCAATCGTATTCGAGGCTATCTGAAGTTCGCGTATGTGTCCACGCTCACCGCACCATGCGGAGAATAGACGATTGTGGGAGAGCCTAGGCGCTGAGTTGCACGATCAGAGAGAGAGGTGCAAGTTTTCCGTGTACGGACTTGTTGGAGACCAGATACTGGTATTCGGATAACTGTGTGCTTGGTATGCAGCAACATGCTTGGTATCCAGTAACGAAAGGAAAGCGGTTCATTAATTGATTGATTACAACAGATACAACATGAACCTTATAGAAAACATAGTGACATGTGCGAGAACGTTCTAGAGAATGTTGTTCATGAAGAACGTTGTTCAACGAGAACGTGCAAGCACCTACTCTAGTATGCGGTTCCAGTCTGGAACCGCCAGGTGAAAACGCCATCAGGTGAAAGTACCGTCAAGTGTATTTTCTACCTGTCCAGGAGTAGTTGCGCAGGTGCTCGCAACAGACAGTTGCACATACTCGTTTGTGCAATGTCGTCACTTCCCTCCAGCTCGGTCCAGTGTTGAACAGTGCATACCGAAGTGCACTGTTGGAGTGTACTAGGCGAATACCGATGCTCTGGTATGCGGTATGCGAAACCTCGCTATACCGCATAGGGCTGCTACACGCAAAACCAGGCGCGTGCAGGGCTTCACCTTAACACCCGTTTCACATCCCTTCAGGGCCCGGGGGCTGGTGCATGGGTCTCGGCTATCCCAGCTCATGCGGATATCACCTTCACAGCTGCTGAGTGGAGCATTGCTGCAGCTGTGCGTCTGGGCCTTCCGATCCAGCAGCGGCACGTGGCAGGGCGTTGTGTACGCAGACCCGGCGGACCCGCACCATGCACTGCGATGCAAGCATCAGCACGGTCCCTCTGGGGTGCACGATGAGGTGAAGTTTGCGGTGGCGAAGATTTCCAAGGCATTGGGGGGGGGGGGTGGGGGTGGGGGTGACGATGGAGGATGACATGTTGTTGCCAGGAAAGCGTATGGATGTTGAAGTGTGTCGACCGATGGATGGAGAGGCGCACACCTTGGAGATTATTGTTGCAAACCCCTTGTCGCTCTCTCCATCTTTGGTCGAGCAGTGGGGGCGGTCTATGGGCGTGGTGGCCAAGGAGTGGGAGCGACGGAAGGCGAATGATTACGCACCGTTGCTGGCGAGCAATCGGGGGGTGCAGTTCACACCTTTGATCGTTGAGACGTGGGGGTGCTTGGGCGGACGTTTCAGACGTTGGTTGAGTCAGCAGAGGGACGCTCATTTACGGTTAGCTGTGTCGCGAGGGGCCTCTCGGGAAGATGACACGTCATTCTCGTCATATCTCTTAGGGTCTTTGGAGTCGCCTATTGGGGTGGTATTGCAACATGCGCAGGCTCGCGTTATCTTATTGCGGGCCGCGTCGTCCATGGGCGGGGTGGATGTTGACTTGGTAGACAGGGAGAGGGAGGACGGGGTGGATGAGGGGGGGCTCTCTGGGTGGAGTGGAGGCCCCGTATTTGTCGGATGCACGGCTGTGAAAGGGTAGGGGAGGGGGAAAGGGAGGGGATCAGGGGGTTGGGGTTGGTGGGGAGGGTGGAAAGGAATGTAGGTTATGAGGGGCATCATTAGGGCAGGGTATTGGGTTGGGTTGTTGTTGAGTGTCGTTGTCAATTCGGGCTGTTTAGGGGGTTGTTATTGTCTTTGTTTCCATGCTTTATGTGCTGTACATATAAATAATAATAATAATAATAATAGTAAAAAATCAATATACCAATTATCGAGTAGAATCATTATTAATTATATTAATTCGCTACACAATAAAACTGAATGCTATATCAAGTATGATTTAAATAGAAATATATATATAACAAGTGAAATTTCAACTCTACACTAGCCACCAGCTGGAAGTAACTGGCCCGCTTGAGGGCAGGCAATCCCGAAGGCACGAGCTGGATGTCAACACAAGTGCGTGCGTGGTGCGTTCATCCGTTTGAGCAATAGTGCCGTGCATTCATGCGAATCTGACTCGGAAGCAAGGCGTATCGCACCAGCATTTTACATCCAACAAACACGCATTCTACGGTCAAGTTGTTCGGAGTTTGTGGTGAGATGGGATGGAAAGAGGAAGGGGTATTTTTGCAGAGAAACTTGCACTTGCACAGTTGTGTTTTGAGTTTTTTTTTTCCATACGCTTGAATGCTTGGCTAATATTAGCCCATAACGAATCAGCTGCCTTGATTTCTGTGTGAAAATGCAATGGACCACTGCCACAAGTATTTTCCCTGGCAGGGTTTGGCTCACAGAAGAAATAGGCACGAGCTCTCTAGTTCGGCACTTGTCGTTTAGGCAATTCAAGGGTCATATCCAGATTACAGCAAAACTTGAGAGGTTTCATTGGGTATGTTTGTTTCGACACTTTCGGTCAACCCAGGAAACAAATCCTGACTCCCACTAGACGTTTGGTTTGACGTACGTTTGTCGTTTGAGTCCACCACACTACCGCCACTGCAAGCAGCCGTCAATAACTCTCTGTGCCTGATTGGACCAAAGAGGGACTTGACAGGTGACTTTATTCGATAACTTCTATTTATTTGTTGAAGGGCATTTACAAAATAATGGCATGCTAATATTTCTTCTGCCTCGGACTTGTACGAGAGCATTGACCACCCTTTTCTAATTCACAAGCCGGATGGAGGGAGGATTCAGCACACAAATTGGCTTTTGAACTAGTCTAAACAGCTTTCCCGGCAACTTTGTTCGAATGGACAGTGCTGATGGATGGAGCTATATGGAATAAATACAGACTTTATCGCTCATGAAGTGCTCACATTCTCGAAGCGCTTCGAAATGAGACGGTAACTTGTCTCTTTTGCAGCTGGCGCCAGTCTGTCATTTTGAGGCACAGTTTTCCTCCATCGCAGAATGGTGTGGACTGTGGTGAAAAAAAAAACTATGGGTTCAGTATGGAGTTGGGGGCCAGAGATCTATAGTGGTGCGCTAAATTAAGGAAATCCATAATTTAACTTGTGTTTCTGCATGAGCATTATGGAACTTTCGCAACCCAGTCCAAATTGCTGGTTTTGAGTGGCGATAGGTCCCGAGCTGGATTGGCACCAGCGAGACGGTTCGTCTGTAAGCTAGAAGGATTAACCACAGCGCCACCAGCACCCTGCTGTCCGGTACCCTCACTAAGGGGGTACCATGCAACGCAAACCCCAGGACGGGTGCCCACAAAAAACAGCTCCCGCCCTCCTCTCCCAGACCGCAGCTTGCACGGGGACTGTGAGTGCACACACACATGTTGGGCGCCCCAAAAATATCGCTTGGTCTGGGGCGTGGAACATCCTTGGGAAAGTCGGACAAGTCCGGACCTTCACCGCTCTGCAGCGTATTTAACATATCTATACATACAGGTTACGTTTTTAACCACTCAAAAGACCGAACCTTTAGCAAGTGTCCGCTCTTACCCCAAATTGCATGTCAAATGCTACTACATCAAACGCGTGTGGTGTTTCGTTCGTACTCTGCTCCTTCCTTTCTCCAACCACACTCCGCGTTTCTTCAGCTGCGGCGGAACTTCACTCCCAGCTTTTCCAGTCACCACTCATCGCGAGCTGGCTACGTGAGCAACGAACAGATTCTACGAGTAGTACTTATATGGCGACCACAGCTCGGAGCTGCGTAGTATCGTCGCGATATTTTTGCCCACCCACTATGACTACAATCGCACTCAGTACTATGGGTGGCGAGCCCACGTCTTTTAACGATCCTCCTGCTCGATCGAGCAGCTGGAAAGCTGCGCAATTTGCGGAACGGTTGCTGATCACTCCGCTCGACATCCCCGATGCCGACGCGCCGGAGATGAAGCCGGATATGACGCCGGGAATGACGCTAGACGACCAGACTCTCTCAGCATACGACACGGCGCCGCATTTTCTCCTAAACGGCTCGCAACCGCGTGACGTCGACATCGAGTCGCAGCAGTCGCGCCGCCAGCTGCAAGCCGAACGTCACGATGACGGTTACGAACCGACGCGTGAAATGATCGAGAATCCCGCCGCGTCGACGAAGACGATAAAAGCGCTTCAAGTTGACACTTCGAACAAGACTGCAGGAATCTCTTCCAGCGCAACGGCGACGGCTGGCCGAGCCGCAGCGGCGAGTGGAGCGGGCGATTTCTCACCATCGCCAGCGGAAATGCTCGATGGCGCCTCATTCGAGCGCCTCACGCTCGTCTCTCCGCGATCCACGGCGGACTTCGACTTCGCCATCGCGGTCAAGAATCTGGCTGACTCGGATCGAGAAAACGACTCGTTTAAAATTAAAGGGGACTTCGGCGATTCCGACTCGGCATATGGCGACAACTTTCCCATGATGGTGCTCCCGCGCCGCCCACGCCGCGCGTCGTATAGCGGTTCCGGGGAGAGCTTTCCGCCGAAATCCCCGCCGCTCACCACGTCAATCAATTCAACCTGGCGGAGCAACGGAAGCATCGCCGGGAAAGCTGCTAGTGCGTCCAGCTTCCTCAATCGACCGCCAATTGCTGACACCTCCGCGGGGCGCGGTTGGCGTGGCGCTTTGACCCCGCGGAGTGGTGCGTTGGGCCGGAGACTGTGCTCGCCTCACACTGAATGGGGTTCGAACTCAGATGCGGCTGCTATCGGCCCCAACCAGCGTGACGTTTTTTTCCCAGCTTCAAATACGGATCTTCTAAATGTTATTCCTCATTCCGCAAGTTTGAACTCGATCGGGCAGATTCACGCAAAAGTTTCAGTTCAGCGGAGTCGCAGTCACGCTTTGTTTGGCGAAATTCCCGGGACGGTGTTTGAAGACCCGCAGGTTGGGGCCCCGATTCCTGAAATCAAGGAGAGTGACGATGGAGCTGACTGTGGGTCGGTTTTCTCAAACGTGGCCCCAAACGGGGATGGAGCGTTTCACTGCTACACTCCTCGCGGGAGTCCTCTCGGCAATAAAGCAATAACCATCGTACACCAGCGACACCACAAGCGACATTCCATTGGTGAGATCAACGGAACAATTTTCGAGCAGTTATGTCAAGAGGATGAGGAAAAGGCATCTCCCACGCAAACCCAATGCGGGCCTCAAACTGTGCAGGAGAAGAAGCAATTCCAGCAGCAGCGGGCTCGACGATTTTCCCGCTCTCATTCCGTCCAGTGCAACCAAGTCAGCAACTCCTCCTCGATAGCTCATGTCGACAGCCGATGTGCGACAACCGGAGTGACAAGCACGCCTAACAGCCCGTTTCTGATAGGCACGGTGAGAAGCGGAGCTCCCAGTCCCAGGGTCGGGAGCAGGTCTGTGCGGCAGAGCAGCAGCGACATGTTCGAGCCTTCAGGTTCGGAAGCTGCCGGGCCTTCGACTTCACCGACTGAACACTCTGCTTCAGTCGCCCCGCGTCCTTCCTCTTCTGCCGGACGAATCCCTCTGTTGCCGCACAGGCAGCACCATCACAGGCGGAGCTTCAGCATCTGCGCTAGTGATTGCACCACCAGCATCAGCAGCGGCATCAGCGGCAGCATCAGTGGTGGTGGGGGAAGCAGTGGCGGAGCTACCCCTCCGGAAACAGATTATTCAGCTGCTGGATACCCGGCAGCAGGCAACACGAGGAACCCCACAACACCTTGTGCTGCCCCAGGTGGTGGTGCTGTGTTCTGCCCGAGCCCGAGATGGGTTGGGAAGCGGTCCCCTGTGGCGTTTCAAAGGGATGTGTGGAGTCAGCAGAGGGGGTGCCAGCAGGGTGAAAGGCAGCATGCACGACGTCACTCAGTGAGTGAGATTGACGGGTCGGTGTTTGAGGAGCTTGCGGTAGCTGCTCAGCGGCTGCAGGAGTAGTGTTTGACAAAAAAAAAGGCAGCCTATCTCATAAAGGAAAGGTGCCACACCCCATGGGTGTCGATGTGTCATTCTGTGCGTGAGATTGATGTTTCAACAATTTTCTGCTAGGGTTGCAATACCGTAGTAGTGGTGTCCATCTTACGTAGCCAAGCAATGCTCGTAGTAATATGTTTGAAAGTCCAGCTTGTTGAATGGTTGTCCTGTTGCCAAAGACTGAAGGCTCATCCCCCATCCCCATTGTGACACCCAGTTTCCAGATTGGTTGATAGTCATAAGTATATGGCCCCCTAAAGCGAGCTGTGGATACTAGGAGCATAGGACTTGGGAATGGAATCATGGAAATGTGTTATGTATTATCATCACTGGGAGCGGGTGAAGTTTGTTGGGCTGAGAAAGCCCTTAGGATCTTTGCAGGGCAGAACTCAAGGGTAGGATGATGTAATAGCGGAAGCGTTTAATAAATGATTGTGAACCACCTTGCGCTTGTATGTGAGGGCAAAGCAAGTTAATGATAATAAAAGAGATACAAGCTTTTATAAGAATACAAAGGAATATGAAGAGATACGGTTAACTGTTTTACTGTTGCTGTTGCGGTTCGATACATTGTCGACTCGGGCAACTGCTCAGTATCGAGACAGTTGTTTGTCCTTGCTGTCGCGCTGCATTTGTCAGGTCAAAGGTCGCTGACCTTTGACTTTCGCGTAACCTCCAACAGTTATTCAACCTCCGAGGGTTGACTCACCGATATTTCGATACGAGCTGCTTCGCTTCTGTCTTGGTGTTTCGACACGACAGAGGCGCCTAAATCAGTTGTTTCCAACACTCCCCTTCGCTTCTGGAGTGTCGCTGCAGGTGACGTGGCTCTGTCCAGTCAGCAGCATGCAATATTCGAACTTCGACTTTCCGAGCTTCTTGGTCAAGTAATCAGCTGCCATCTCGGATGTGGGGCAGTAAGACAGCTCAAGTCTCCCCTTCTCGATCTCGTCCTTTACGAAGAAATATCGCAGGGCGATATGCTTCGTCCTGTTCGCAAATCCATTTTTGTTGGCTATGCGAATTGCCGACTGGTTGTCGCAAAATAGGGAGAAGCTGTGTAACTGGGCCAGCTTTGCTTCCTCCAGAAGTTCGCGAAGGTAGAGTCCTTCCTTGGTGGCTGAGCAAAGTGCGATATATTCAGCTTCAGCTGAGGAAAGGGCGATTAATTCCTGTTTGCTCGACTGCCACGAAATAGGTCCGATAGGCTCGAGACGGTAGATGTAGCCTGTGCGCGAGCGCCTGTTGTCAGAATCTCCGGCGTGATCGGCGTCGACGTAGCCGATTAGCTTGGGCGTTGTAGTTATATTTCTGTAGTAGATTAGGCCGATCGTCGGGGTGCTTACGAGGTAGTGTAAAGCCCGATCGAGTTCCTTCATGTGTTCGTCTTCAGGTCTTTTAAGGTAAGTGGCGAGTTGACTTGCTGAGTATGATAGGTCTGGACGACAGGTGACGGCCGCGAAGAGAAGGCATCCTAGCTTTCTCTGGTAGTTGCGTATGTCGGCGGGTTTCAGTGGAGCAGATTCTGTCTTGTCATTTCCTGCCGTGTAGCGGTATGGTGTAGAGATGGTAGTTGGCATGAGTGTGAACCGTTTGGCGATGGTGTCGGCATACTTTGCGGCGTTGAGATAGATCGCGTCTTCTCCTTCTTGAATGTTGAGGCCGAGGTATTGCGTGACGGTAGATGATACCGTGAGGGTGAGATCCTTTTGTAGCTCCCCTTCGAACCAGATAGTAACGTTGTCGGTTGATCCGATGTAGAGTAGGTCGTCTACGTAGACGATCAGTAGAATGTAGTCGTCGTTTTTCGTAAATCGATACATGCCTTGGTTGTGCGGCAGCTGCTTGAATCCGATGCGAGTGAGCCGAGCGTGTAAGTACTGCTGCCACAGTCTCGGAGCCTGTTTAATCCCGTACAGAGATTTTTGTAGCTGACAGACTTGATTGGGCTCTCCGTGAGAACCATGTGGGAGTTCGACGTAGATTTCTGCGTCGACGGGTGCGTAGAGAAAAGCATTGGCGACGTCGATTTGCCGCAGTTTCTTCTTTTTCATAGCGGCGACCGCGAGAAGAATCCGTAGTGAAGTATGTCGACTAACCGGTGCGAATGTCTCAGTGAAATCGCGTCCGTGCTCTTGGTCGAAGCCACGTACGACCCAGCGTGCCTTGAACTTGTCGATGGTGCCGTCTGCTTTCGTCTTCACACGGAAGACCCACTTCCCGGTGAGTATTGTCTTGTTTCGTGCCACGCCGATAGGAACCACTTTCCAGGTGTTGCGTACCTGTAGTGCTTTCAGTTCCTTGTCCATGGCTTCACGCCATTTTTCCTTATGTTCCCCCCCCAGAGCCTGCTGAACTGTGGCAGGCTCTTTAGGTGTATCCGTGCCGTGGACCGCGGTGACGAGACCAAGTATCTGAAGGCCACTCTGTGTGTAGCGGGGGAGTGTTGTGTCCGCGGGATAAGCTGCTTCGTCTCCTGTTTCTGGGTCAGGTATGAAGTTGGGCCCTATGCGTTCGGCTTCGTTGGTGTTGACTTCTGCAGGTGTAACGTAACCAGTGTCGGCGAGGTCGAAATAAGTTTCGGCGTTGACACTTTCGCGAGGATTTTCGTCATCCATCGAGATGGGCATAGAACAGTAAGGGAGTGGTCCTGCTTCTTCCGAGGCGTTATCCACGTTCTGCTCGTCCCAGTCAGCTTCGTCTGCTGCCGAGGCGAAGTGTCGGTCACCACGGAAGCCACCTGTGGGATCCCGATTTTCTTCCAGGTTGGCAAGGTATGTCGGAAGGGTGAGTCGTTCGTAGAAAATGACGTCACGTGCTGCTACTGTTTCTTTGGAGTGGACGTCGAAAATCTTCCACGCGTTGTAATTTCTTTCGATGCCCAGGTGTAGTCCCCACTGTGCTCGTTGGGAAAATCGGCCGGCTCGTGCAGATGGGGGTCGGTACTGTACCATGCAGCCGAAAACTCTTAACATTTTTGTGTTGCCCTGTTTTCCTATCCACAGCAGGTGCGGTGATGCGTTGTTCGGTAATGACGACGAAGAAAGCAAGTTGTGCAGCATGACAGCGTGGTCCATCGCTTCAGGCCACTGGTGATTGGGCAGTCGCATGCCACGCAGTAGTTTGCGCATGGTGTTCTGGAGGGTTCGGTTCATCCGTTCCGCCACGCCTTGCTGTTGATGGGCATAAGGAAGCGAGATGAGCCTTTTGATTCCCTTTTCTGCCAAGAACTGCTTGAACCGCTGTGAGGTGTATTCTCCTCCTCCGTCTGACTGAAAGCTTTTCAGTTTCTCGCCTGATTCTCGTTCTGCTACTGGGAGCCAAGCGATGAAGGCTTCGAAGGCCATGTCTTTGCTCGGGAGATTAAGGTGCCAGACGTAACGTGTAGCGGCATCGATGAAAGTGATGGTGTAGCTGTATGCTCCTTGTCCAGGTTCGCGGTTGTACAAGATGTCGCTGTAAACTTTCTCAAGTGGTGCATAAGCTGGTGCGCTGGGGTTGTGGTGAGAAGTAAATGGCCGATGTGGTAAGTCTGCTTCGGGGCAGGTAAAGCACGTTCCTCGTGCTCGTCGAAGTTCACTTCCGTTCGTTAGGAGTAGTGAATCCTTGTCGAGTACGCCTGCTCGGATTGTATTGTTTAACACCGTGTTGCTTGGGTGTCCCATTCGTGCGTGCCAGATGTCTTCGCTGGCGCGATGTCCGGGTGAACGACGATACAGATCGGAGTTGGAGTAAAAGGCGGCGGTGAAGTTGGCGCTTCTGTGAACTTCGCGAGGAGTGGGAGTTAGCTGCTGCGCAGGAGTTGGTGAAGTATTATCGATGTGTGGCGATGTTGAAGAACTTGCGACTGGTGTTGTAAGTGTTGGTGGAATTGCCGATGGTTCTGCTGCTGCCGATGTTGTTTCTGCCGCTGCCGATGTTGTTTCTGCTGCTGCCGATGTTATTTCTGCTGCTGCCGAGTGTTGAATTGTCGCTAATGCTCGTGTTCGTTCTGCTTCAGGGATGGTGTGCGAATACCAGAAGCCTTCTGGACTGAAGTCGGGGTCAAGATCCGGTGGATGCGTCCAAGAGGTGAAGGTGACGATCCCGTCGCTGTCGGCGGTGCCGAGATCTGGGACGAAGTCGAGGACGAAGACATTGTTTTTCAAGACTGCTTTTCCAATGTAGAGACCACCCTTGCCGTGGTATAACTTAAACTCCTGAGTGGTGCTGTCGGCCTCGAGGTGTATGCCCTTCGCCATCAGCTGACTGACGCTCAGTAAGTTGTAGCCGAGTCCTTCTGCTATCAAAACTTTAGACATCTGCAGTATCACATTTGTCTCTCGTGACTGAAGTTGCACTACGCCTTGTCGTCGTGTGCGCAGGTTCTGATTGTTGGCGACGGTGATGACGACTTCACGTTGAAGTAGATGTTCAGGTTGAACAAAACGCCCTGAGGAGCACATGTGCTGTCCACAGCAACTGTCCAAGAACCACGTATCCTTCTCGGATGGCTCGCTTTGAGCGATGGCTGCGTACGTTGGGTTTGGTTGAAGTGACTCGCGACGAGGTGTGCTGTTGTCGAGTTGTTCTTCCGGTGAGTAATGTGGTGGAGACTAGGTGATGCAGGAATCGGTCAGTCGTGTCATGCAACTGACAATGTTTCTTGTTTCTTGCGCAGGTTGTCCCGTCGATGTCGTTGAGATCGAGCTTGCTTGCGTTGAGGTAACTTGACTGCTTGAAGGCCGAAGCTGCCGCTGCGTCGGTGCTGATTGTTGTCGGTTAGGGCAGTGTGAGCGAGGATGCCCTGACATCTTGCAAAGGTGACAGAACGGAGGTACTGATTTCGGTTGATGCCGATTGTTGTTGTTGTAGCGTCGTTGAGTGTGGAATGCAAATTCGGGTACTGATGCCTTCTTCCTGTGTCGTTCCTCTTGCAGGTCCATGTCTTGCTGCTCAGCATGGATTTCGGCGCAGAGTGCTGC